TCCTTGTGCACAATAAAGAAGCTTATTCGGTTTGTAAACTTAAAAAGCTTAAAGTAACTCCGGTTGATTAAGCAAAAGGATCATTACTCATATTCTCTTCCTCATATTCTGACATGGAAATACAATTTTACATGTCTTAAATTACTAGTTCACAGCCTATGCTCTGGTTATAAGCAATTAGGTTTTAGCTTCTCATTGGATTATACAAAATTACACATGGCAGCGGTTGAAAAAGTCTAACCGAGAAGCCCAGAAGAGGATTGAGCTTGGAAAGGTATCATTATTGTTAATGAATACTGAGATATTCAGTCCAGCTTGCACTCTACACATGCCCTAGAACTCATTGATTCCTATAGCTTCACTCTGCAGGTTACTGTACAACGAGTGTGGGCTTTTTGCAAGCTTGGCAGAGAAAGTAAACATGGGCATATGCTAGATGACCTCATAGAAATAAAGAAAAACTTATTATGGGATTGAGAGCGTCAACAACTGTCCAATTAGGTATCTGAGCCATTGGCCAGTTGCTAATACAGGCACGAGCTTCTGTTCAGTCATTAATCACCCCTGGCAAGAACAAAAGCCTTCTTCTGAACTGGCACTGCTTTACCAATAACTTCGTCAATGCTCATTTATATCCTTTAAGGTTAAGTTATTTTAGCATCATTCTGCACAAAGGACATTTCTGTCACTCAAGTCCAAGTATGAACATGGGAACACTTTCTTGATTGGCCCATGACCCTCACCATTGTCCCCTTAGACTAACCAATCGGATGGCCAGGGACACTTTGTTGATTACATAACACTGTTTTGAGGTATCCTTTCCCTCTCTTAGCCTCATAATCTTATCTCGGGCAACGCTTCCTGTTAGGAAGCCAAGTCCTTAACTGAATGTCCCCAAGGGACCTTGTTGTTCAGTCTTCCCTACCCAAGCTGTTTCAAGCACTTCTCAAGTGTGCTGAACCTTGTGAAGCCTCCACCTATCACTTCAACCCCAGCTGGATCCTTCCCTACAATCTCTTACTCCACTCTTTCCCCTCTTTTCCATGTTTGTTTTTCTCAGGTTAGTTAGGAACTCTAAGGGAACACAAGCTGCTAGCTCTCCCATAAGCTTTCTTTATTTTTAACCCGCTGTTTCCCATCAGGATATTTGTACTGGAAAAGTACTGGATGGATGAATAATAGGCCTGCCTCAATCTGCAAACACAGAGGTAGATAGTGACATATATCCAGGCAACCTATGCCTAACTGCTTTGAGAACCCCATTATACAGATGCAACCCCAGGCCTTCATGGTGAAATTCAGAAAACCCATTCCTTCCTTCTCCCTCCCACCCCTCCAGAATAGGTAATTATTAGTATTCTGTTCATTCCACTTATCCCTTTCTTCACCATTTTCTAAATATTAATACGTTTCTGCCCCCATATGATCCAAATCCATGTGATTTGCACTTGAGAATGCATGCTGCATTCTAGGCCTCCATTTCAACCCACCAGATTCTCAATCTCACTCCTCACTCTTTATGTGGCAACAGTAAAGCGTACACCTTTGGCTGCCTCTGTCTCTATCAGGGGTAAAAGACAAGGTATGTGTAAGGTGCTGGTCCAAGAAATGTGGATTTGGTAAGCTTGCGTACAATCTTATTTTCACTAACCATGTTACCATTGCAAACAGTACGTTTGGTGATTCAAGCTGCAAAACTATTTTACAAACACTGCAACATTTCTCCAATGAAAATAGGGATGACCTAAGGAAAAGTGGAACATTCCTGGATCAAATCAGAAACCAGGACAGCTTCTGTAAATCCAGGACTTTTTGTGGAAAATAGGGATACTTGGAGGGTCTGATCTGATTGCTTAAGTATCATTTTGGCCCTGAAAGTAAACTTTGAACTCACATTCAGGTAGATAGCTGTGTTGGTCTGATGCAGTCTAAATTTTTTTTAAAAATTGTCCAGTAGCACCTCAGAGACCAAATAAGTTTGTTCTGGGTATAATTTTTTGTGCATAGTGCATAACGATGCTTAAACTTCTGCATTCACTGCATACAGATGCAGCAATTCTATACAGTGGTACCTCGGATTAAGTACTTAATTCGTTCCAGAGGTCCGTTCTTAACCTGAAACTGTTCTTAACCTGAAGCACCACTTTAGCTAATGGGGCCTCCTGCTGCTGCCGTGCTGCCGGTGCCTGATTTCTGTTCTCACCCTGAAGCAAAGTTCTTAACCCAAGGTGCTATTTCTGGGTTAACAGAGTCTGTAACCTGAAGCGTATGTAACCTGAAGCGTATGTAACCCGAGGTACCACTGTATTTTGCAACTTATAGACTGAATAACATGTTCCCATCACGGTCATCCATATATATAGCTAAGTTTGTGGGACTTTCTCTTTTAAAAAAAAAAAGATATTTATTAAAATTTTCAAGATATTACAAAATGAAAAAAGAAAAAAGAAAAATACAAAATAAAAATAAAAATAGTTAAAAACAACTCAATCTTTCCATTACTTATTTTTCATTAGCTTGTTTCCCGGACCTCCTCGCGCCTCCCTGTTTTGTATTCCAGTTCAGTTTGTTAGTTCAGCAAATTCTTCTCCTCTTTGTTTATCCTAATCTTTAATCTTAAAATATTGTAACATTAAATTTTTACCTATTCATAATCCATTTTTCATATTCCCTTATAGTATTACAGCTAAAAACCACTTAATTTCTATTCAACATCATTCTAACATTCATTAATTTTACAATATTTCTGTAAATAGTCTTTAAACTTTTTCCAATCTTCTTCTACCGACTCTTCTCCCTGGTCTCGGATTCTGCCAGAGTTTGTGGGACTTTCTCTCTCTCTCTCTGTGTGTGTGTGTGTGTGTGTATGTATGTGTGTGTGTGTCTGTATATACATGTGTGTATGCTCATACATGCACCCACATGCACAAATACAATCTCATGGAGGTACCCCCTAACTATTAAGGTAGATAGGTAGAAGAGAAATAGAGTCTTCTAAGTTCAAATTGGGAACTATAAAGTTGCCGTCAATAGTGCTTTGCTAGGCATTTAATCATTTTAAGTGGAGAGCTTTTGCAAATGAGCCAGGTCATCCCTGAGGTTTATTGGGGAGTTTTGTGGGAAGGAGGGGAGGAAAGAATTCTCCATTTTTCATTCTTCTAACATAGCAAGTAACCCCAATGAAAATTTAATTTGCCAAGGAAAATGCTTCTAGGAAGCTGATCTCTAATTTCCTCTCAAACACTTTAGCTACACTTTCACTCTCAGCTTCATATTATGTCATTTGAGGAGGCAGAAGAGAACTCTCAGAGAGATGGAGAGGGAGAGAGGGAGACTTGAGGAGAAATATAATGAGCTATTTGATCACAAAAGGTAAATAATAATAAAAAGGCACATTGGATTTCTTTTTGCAGGACCTTTGATTCAGTGGATGCTCCCACTGGTAAAAGGTGTGTATGTATGTGTGTGTGTGTGTGTGTGTGCGCGTGCGCGCGCGTGCATGCATATTTTTCTCCCCTTGCCCTGACGGTCCCCTGTACCACCTCCAGCATTGTTCCAGGGAGTCTTGCCACCCCCTCTGGACCAATTTTTCAGAGTGGACAGTAGAAGGGGAACTAGGACAAAAATCACCTCACCACTGCCACCTTTTGAGTGGAGTTCGGCTCACTCCAAGTCAGTGTATACAAGCACAGTGAAATTCGTAAAGATTATCTACACACACACACACACACCACAATAGAAATGTCAAAGTTTTATATTCTGGGGATATTTTACCTCAGGCAGCAGCTCTCCAGTGTTTCAGATGGAGGCTTTCCCAGCCCTCCTAAGAGACACCAGGGATTGAACTTGTGGTGAGGCTGTGATAAGGTGTATTGGGAATGGCTTTGGTGGAAGCATTGCACTTTCATTTTGCAGAGGCACCAGCTGCCCTTCAGGAGAGACAAAACCCTAATCATATTTCTCTGTATCAATATATACAGACATGTTCACTATTTGATTTCCAATAAACAAATATCCTATTAGGCATGCTTGAGAGAGGCGAGATGGTAAGTTAATTAACAACTCAATGACTATTAAAGCTTTGATCTTTTTCTGATGCACACACTTGAAAGACATGGCCTTGCATCTTTGGAGACTGCTCCTGTTTCATTCTAATCCTCTTTGGGAGCCACAATGCTGGCATTTGACAAAGAAACCAGCAGAATCCCCTGCAGAGTCTGCAGCTGTCATTTCCAAAATGGCACTTTGTTAGAAATCTCAGTAAACAGTGTCACCTTTCCCAGTCTGCTCAATATCAGATTCCCTATTCGTATTCATGTGCGAGATTCTTGTCCAATTTGTTCTTATTATGTTGTTAGAGCCAAAAGAGCCTTTCAATTAGCTGGCACTATTTTACCAGATTAAAATAGGAAATTCCGGGAGCTCAGTTTGCTAGTGTCACGTTGGCAAACCTTTTGCTTTAACATAACAAACTGCAGTATTTGCTTTTCAAAATATCATCTGCTATATTCTATTAGTCCACATAAGTGCTATAACATTATTCCACTTGTATGAGTCACACAGAGCACAATGCAAGCTACTGTAAGCTCTCTCTGACCCACTGAGAATGTTGCTTCTATTTCTCGTAGCTTCTGATTTTTCAATGGGCAATGTCTATAGGCTTTCAAGCCTAGCTTCATGTATTTAAGGGATCAGAACTCAGGGCACAATCCAGGCAACCAATTTCAATTACTTTGAAAGGATTGTGCCACTGATATCTAAGATTCTCAGGGTTAAGAATTTTATAACAGGCTGTGGTTTCATGGAATAAACTGCCTTGCCTTAAAGCTGCATGCTTCTCTAGGGAACAGTAGATTCAAAGAGCTGAAAGGCATCTTGGAAGCCATGTAGTCTAACCCCTAGTTCAATGTGGGATGCAACTACACCATACCTGACATAAGACTATCCAGCCTCCAGCAAAATAGGTCGATCAAGTCCACTCTCAAGCACCTCTTACCATTTTGAAGTTTATCTGAAATCTGTTTCTCTGCAATTCCTCTGCATTGGTTCCAGTCCCGTACTCTGGAGCAAGAGAGAACAAATCTTTTCCACATTCTGCATGACAGCTCTACAGCTGTTTGAAGACTACTATCACATATTTACTTAACTTTCTCTTCTCCAGGCTAAGCCTACTCAGGTCTTGTAAAAGATTGTGAACAATGGAAAGTACTCTCAGGAAACGCTCAGCGGTCAAACCTTCTTCCTGTTGCAGTCTTGGGTGGTTCATCAAGGTACATAATGCAGTCTTCTTATAATACAAGCATCCAGGAATCACAAGCACACTACAGGCATCATAATACTTCATACTAACTAGTTGCAGACTAATTGGCCAACTCCTCACCACTCATGATGCTCTCATATTTCCTGAGTCAGCATACCTACCTAATACAGTGTGTTAACTGCTTGGTAACCACAACACTTTGTATGAATGCCAACACTCCCCCTTGGGTATCACAAGGTTACACACTCAGTCTGAGCTGCATTGCTAGTTTGCTATGTTTTCCCTCGGCGAGAGATTTAGTCAAAAGATTCACCACCATGTTGTCTGTTGGACAGTTTTGTAACTCGATAAACTTCTGTTGTACATAATCTTTGAGATGGTGGAATCTAACATCTAGATGTTTGCTTTTCTGAAACTGGTGTTCTCCCTGGACAATATTAATACAGGACTGAGAATCCTCAGGTAATGTGATTAGTTTTGATACATTTAGTACCAAATCCTTAAAGAAATGTAACGAAGGTGCCAGGAGAGCCTTCTGGAGAGAGCATTCCACAAACTGGGAGGCATTGCAGAAAAGGCCTGTTCTCATGTTGCTGCTTTAGGAGGTCTTGCAGAAGAGGCACACAAAGAAGGGTCGCAGATGATGATTGCAGGGTCTGGATCGGTTCATATGGGGAGAGGCAGTCCTTTAGATACTTCCCACTTTTCTTTCTTATTAGAATTGTCTGTATCTGTCCCCTCAATGTTGTTGTTGTTGTTGTTTAGTCGTTTAGTCGTGTCCGATTCTTCGTGACCCCATGGACCAGAGCACGCCAGGCACTCCTGTCTTCCACTGCCTCCCGCAGTTTGGTCAAACTCATGTTCATACCTTCGAGAACACTGTCCAACCATCTCGTCCTCTGTCGTCCCCTTCTCCTTGTGCCCTCCATCTTTCCCAACATCAGGATCTTTTTCAGGGAGTCTTCTCTTCTCATGAGGTAGCCAAAGTATTGGAGTCTCAGCTTCAGGATCTGTCCTTCCAGTGAGCACTCAGGGCTGATTTCCTTAAGAATGGATAGGTTTGATCTTCCTGCAGTCCATGGGGCTCTCAAGAGTCTCTTCCAGCACCTTTAAGAAACTCCTATCCATCTTGGACTCCCTTCGCTTTGAGTATTTCTGACCATGGACTCTCACCCAGTAGTTCCTTATGCTTTTTAAAACCATCCTTATTACATATAGGAAGACCCTACATTCCACATAAATATATTTATATCTTTGTACAATAAGTGTGCTCATGGTTTAAAATAATTACTCTTTTTTACTGTTGGATAAATCTAAGATTTAGAGTTATATATGACAGAGCTGAATGAAACAGAATCTCATCAGGATATACCTGTGGATTTATAAAGGGAATATGAAAGAAAAGTTTGTTTTATTGGTTTTTAGTTTTTTCTTCTTCTTTCAGGTTATGAATCATCTAAAGAATGCCTTGCGTGTTGTGGCAAATTGACACTGCCTATATTATTTATACCGCCCTTCATCTGTAGATCTCAGGGCGGTTCATAGCATAAGATAACAAGATAAAAACACAAAATATACAATGAAAACAAGAACAAAAACACAGCAAACACATAACTCCCCCCCAACACTACAAAAGGATTATTGGTATATATATAAAAGCTGAAGTATTATTCTGTGCACAAGCTGAAAGAAACAGGGACTGGAAAATACATATTCCACATGTTTGTTTCAGCTCTTATTTTCTCATTTAACTGCTTGTCCTCTCCCCCTAAAAAGAACTCGCCAAGAGCTGAAATGGAAAGCATTTCTTTAAAATCAAAGCAAACAATTTAGTAATTTCCAAGAAATCATCCAAAGTAGAAAGCCGGAGAAATGAGTTATGACTTAACCGGTGTGCATTCCAATTTGCAAGTGATAGGGTTCCGTGCCTCTCTTCTCTGCTATACAGATTTTATTTGTGTAGAAAGCTTAAGACTAGAAGGTAAGAGAAGTTTTTTGAAGTGTTGATTGGAATAAAAAGCAATCATTCACCTGTTGCAATAACTAGCATCTAGCATACATTCCTCCTCTGCCTGAAATAAATTGTGTCCTCTCACTTTCTTCTGCAAACTTTAAACTCTTCTTCTTTGTCACAAATTTGCTCTTTTTCTTGCCTGATAGCACTTTTGTGTCCATATTTAGAACCCAGAAGGTATATAAATATCCAAAGGACAGTGACATTTACACCTTACACAATTTAGAGATCCATATAAAATTAAGCATGGTTAATAAAAAGCATTTATGAGGTATTCCAAACTGCCAAAATGTGGCATCATTTGGATACTTTGCAAGCAGCTTTATTTATAGGTTCATAAACATGGGTGTAAATGGATATTTTAGAAATGGCTACAGCTTTCAGATAAAACAAATTTGAAACGCTTACTTGAACCTCAGTCTAGTATGACATGAAATATCTGAGTACAGGCAGAGACAAAATAGAGTTCAGCACCCCAATATTTGGTTTGTATCAGACAACAGCTCCTGGAGACAAAGCCATTTAGGCAAGCTTTCTCCTGAAGTGAAGATGTGCTGTTTTAAATGCTTTTAACTATTTTGATAGTTACGCTTTTTTTAAAAAAAAAATTGCTTTTTTAAAAAAAAACTGCCCAGATTGAGCTATTTAAAGTGCAGTCTGAGTTTGCTTGTTGCTAAAGCAATATCTATGATATAAATCTAGGGTGCATGCGGCAGAACAATTCTATGCAAATTTCCTATGAAGTTTCTTCCTGATAAAGTTAATCTGATGTCTTGTTCATAACGCTTTAAGAAGTTAACTCATGAACTACTGCAGATCTAGTGTTTTCCATTGCATTCTACCTGACAACCTAAATACTGGGTAACATCTCACCTACCATTGCTTTGTCTGTTTTATTCAGTGGTTGAGAATAAGCATAATGCCAGCTGAGTATGTCACTGGAACACATTTAGAAGAAAAGATTACTGATATTGCTATCAAATGCAGAATGTGCATAGACCCTACCACATGAGATTTATCTTGTGCCATTCAATTAAGTCTCTGCTCCCATTAGGATTGGAGTAATTAGATTTGGGGAGGTGGATATTTATAGATCTTCATATTTCCTCTGCTACCTTGAACTTGGCTCTTCAAGTTCCATCGTTAAGTTTGTCTTTCCTTGGAGCAGGTAAGAATTATGAGATTAATGTTTTGGCCATTGTGATCTAGGAGAGTTTGGCACAGTCGCTACCTGTGAGAGTTCTCCCAGGTGCTGGAACCCTTTCAAAGCATTTTTGTAGTGGGGAACTTCAAAAATAGCAAGGAGGGTAAGCTTCTCTTTTATGATGCCAAAACTCTCTCTTCAACGTATTTGCCTTTAGAGATCAGTTTTCCACTCTTCCTGGGAAATGTCAAGTTGAATGCTACATCAGTATACGACTGCAAAGTTTAGAACAACCTTCTTGGTTGGGGATAGATAGCTTTCACACCAGTGATTCTGACACAAGATGGGAGGAGCATGGAAGACACCAACACAATAGACACTTCCACTGACAGAAAAGCCCCATACAATGTCTGCCATTCAATTTTCAAGATCTGGTTACAGTCCCCATGATCTGTAAGTACAGATATGGCAATTAATTCAAAACTACTGTCTTAGCAGCATTGAAAGAGCCATAGAGTTTAACAGCTGCTTGTGGTTTTGTGCATAGGCACATAGATTTTCTCTTGTGCTTACCTATGAGGCTGATGACCTAGTTATTAGCACTAAGGGATTTATTGGATTGGTAGAATAGCACATTTTTTACCCATTGTGAATTTAAGTGCATACAGCCAAGTGTATCTACCTCCATAAATCCTCACGCAATTTTGAAGAAAAATGATAAAAATGAATAAAAACTTCCGAAATGGAACATTTTTCATATTCTGCCTTGACATACTCTATTGCAATACAAAACCCCGTTACAATGGCTGTGCATTGAAATGCTCCATAAAACTGCTTACATTATTATGGTGTTGTTGTTTTTGAAAAAGTATTGAGGCCAAGGAATGGAAATAAATAAGAAATGACACTGCAATCCATGCTGCATGGTGGAAGAACAAGGCCACAATAAACTTTTGCAGACTATGCTCTATTGATTTGGGTTGCCCTGTGTACATTGGCTTCTACAGAAAAGAGGAAAGCAGCTAACTTGTGTCACAAAACTTGTGTCATCGTCAATGGTAAATTCAGATGAAAGCCTAGATTGTGACAATCTGAACTGGGGAAAAAGACAAGAGGCTTTTGTTTGACATTCTGAAGGAGCAATAAAGCTGGAGCAGCTCACTTGACCAGGAAATAGGAAAATAATTACATGGCCAATGTTGTTACAAGTGAAGAAAAGAGGTTTAAACTAGCAAAGGTCAATGTCGAAGAGGTCTCACTTCAGATATCGCATTTTAAAAAAACAAAACAAAACATTTTTTAACTTCTTTCCTGGTCTCCTTCAAAATACACACAGAGGTTAAAGTAGAGTCCATACTTGAACTGTAAAATGAATGCATCATATTTCTTTGGACTATTTTGCATAAAAAATATAAATGGTGAGTGATATTCAGTGTAAGTCATCCTCAGAGTAGACCCACTGAAATGAATAGACTTCAAATTGACTTAAGTCAATGAGCCCTTTCTGACTGTGACTAATGTTGGATAGCACCCATTAAAAATACAATAACAAAAATTATCATAAATATATAATAATTTTATATAATAAATATAAAAGGAAGTATATATTGCATATTTCCCCTCCCTTCTTGACACTGAGGGCTGGTGGGAGGGGAGGCAGTGTCCATTTGAATTTCAAACGGAAGATTTCAAATACACACCCACCCACCAACTCTTATTCCAATATTTCATTCCATAAGCATTATATCGCATTTTCTGCATCTGACGCCATTCCAAGGCCTCTTATAAATGG